GGGGCTCAGCCTCAAGACGCCCAGAGAGACCTGTGGGTTGGGGTCATCCCAAGCCGTCCCGGTGCCCACCCGGCGGCCGCCGAGGGAGTTCCCACAGAGGGACGCCTGGAAGCAGGCCGAGAGCCCAGGGCTGGGGTGCGGTGGCTCCTGCTCCTGGCCATGGGCCGTGAGGGGCCCTCGGCCTCTAGCCCAAGAGGAGAGCGGCCGTTCCTGTCCTCCTCCTAAGTTGGCAGCCATCTCTGTGTCTTGTGACAGGGAGTTCCACAGTTTAGGTTGTACTGCACTGGCGGGGGGGGAGCTCCTCTCTTCTCTGGCCTGAGTCATCTCCCATTCATCTGCACATGTTTAACTCTGGTGGGTGTTCCCCCCCCCCCCCCACGCTGGGAGGAAGAAAGTTATGGGAGGAAGAAAGCCGCTGCTAACACACTTCCTCTGCCCCAAACTTGGTAGGCCTCTCTTGTGTCTCCACTTCCTCTCCGCTGCCCCCCCCTTCTTTTTTTTCCACCAGAGCGCTCGCTCGCCTGCGAGGTCTTGCTCAGTTTCTGTGGTAAATAGAACATGAAGCAAGCCATGTTAGGAGGCTTCCTTGTGGGCGGGCGGGCAGGGCTGCTGCTGCTCCCTCCTCCTGTGCGGGGGGGGTCCTCCCTCCCTCCCTCTTCCTTCCTTCCTTTTAGGGTGGAAAAATGCTCCCAGGATCTCCTCTCGGAGTTTGGACGCGGTGTCGCTCTCTCTGGCATGGCTGGCCGGGTTGTGCTGGAAGGGGCCTGGCTGGAGGGTCTGCCCAACAACGGGCTTTTGGGTGCAGCTTCTCCCTGTGTACTTTGGAGGGGGGGGGCTCTACTCCATCACAGGGTGCTGCTCCAGAGGGTTTTGTTGGGAGGGCCTTGGTGATTTTCTCCTCTCCTGACAAAATTGTGGACTCACACACACACATACAGACACACCCTCTCTCACACACCCCCTTTATAACGTCCTGGCCAGGCCAGGAGACAGAAGAGGGTTTGTTTGGCTGGGCAACAGGTGGTCCTCTTCTGGCGGCAAACAGGTGGGGCAGCTCTCTTGGGGGAGCCTCTCCTCCACCCCCCCACCCCAGAAAGTCCTAGGTCTTGCACAACACACTTGCCCCTCAACAGGGAAGGCCAGTGAGGTGAGGCTGAAGGGCCCGTGGCCCCCAAATGGAGGGAGCCCCCCACCCTCCCCAAAACCATAGAAGCAGCACTAATGCGGTCTGATTTGGTGGGGTGGAGGGGCTGAGAGAGGCATTGCTGGAGGTTTCGTCTGCGGGGGGGCGGGGAGTGGCACTGGGGCTCTCGGCTGTGNGGGGGGGACAGGATGGCCTTTCCTTACTCCCCGGTCGCTCTGTCCCCACAGCCAGCGGAAGTGAACATCCTGGTGGGGAAGGACCGGAGCAACCTGTTTGTGAATGGCCTGACGCTGGGCGGGCTGAAGTGCTCCGTCATCCGGGACAGCCTCCACACGGACGGGGAGAGCACCATGGATCTGAGGACGAAGAGCAGCGGTGGGGGCCCCACCTTCAACATCACGGCTGCCATGACCAACAAGAGTGAGTGGCGTGGGGGGAGGCGGAGGGCAGAGGGAGAGAGAGAGAGAGGAAAGGCGCAGGAGATGCCGCCGACCCCCAGCAGCCCTGATTCCTTGCAGCTGTCGGCTGGGGCTGCATTCCTTCGTTCACCCCCCCTTCCCTCCCTCCCTCCCTCCCTCAACAGCTGTGGGCAGAGAGCCTCCGTCCACTCTGGGTGGGGGCAGTGTGGCCTCATCCAGATCCTCTGGAGATAAGGAGGCCACTGTCCCAGGCCGCCTCCTCCTCCTCCAGCAGCAGCAGCTCCCACCGCCGCCCGTTCGCTTTCTTCACACGGCTGGAAGGACGGCTGCCGCCGCCGCCGCCGCTTCTTCCGCTTTGTTGTGGTGCCGCCGGGCTGTCTCTTCCTGGCGCTCCCTGTCGGGCTGCGGCAGGGCCGACGCTTCTCATGGGCTGAGGGAGGAGGGCCGGCTCGGTAGCAGCCTCGGGCTGGCGAAAGGGCACGGGCTGCGGGCCGGGAGCTGGGGAATTCAAACCCAGCCCAGCGACCAAAGGGTTATTACGGGAAGAATGGGTTGCCTCACTGATCAGCACACATTTCACCATAGGATCACTTCTGGTGAGCCACAGAGCATATGCAACACAACCGAGGTGGCTACCAGGTTTGGGCGGCTTCTGCCTTGCCCCGCCCGGCCACTCTTCCCCTGCACTTCCCTAAAGCAGAGCTCAGGGCAGGCTCTTGGTGCCCTTCCTGGTGGCCCTCTGCCCATTCTGCCGCCCGCGGGACACGGGGGCCCCCAGCTCCGTGCTCCCCGGCCAATAAAACGTCTTCTGCCCGCCCTGGACCTTTGGCGAGGGCCACCAGGTGGGCCCTTGGCCACCTCTGAGGGCACCCTTGGAGGGTGGGCAGGCGGGGGCGGGTGGCGGAGGTTTTCCAGGTGGGCTTTCACGGCAGTCGCCCTCACGCCGCCGCGTTCTTCTTCCGGTCTTCTTCCACAGCGATAGTGCTGGTGATGGGCAAAGAAGGGGTCCACGGGGGCTGCGTCAACAAGAAGTGCTACGAGATGGCCAACCACCTGCGGCGGTCGCAGTATTGACGAGCCCGCCTCGCCCCACCTGCGGTACTACTGATGGAATGGTGTAAGGATGTCCGAGGTGGCGGCGGCTGCCCGGGGGCCCCGGCCTGACCATCGTGGGACCGACCCCGGCGCCGGATCGCCACATATTCCAACTCCCCGCCAACTCCCCCTCCCTGCTCACAGCCTTCCCTGGTTTCTACAGTTTTTTTTTCCTAATTCTGTTCCTCCTTTTTCTTTTTGCCATTTTGTTTTTCAATCACAAATCCTTATTGCTGCTAAATTTTCTGGTTGTTACAAGGTGTAGTTTTTTTGGTTAAGAAAACTATATTGGAACAAGAAAAAAAATAAAAGAAATTGAATACTGAAGTGTGTGTATGTGTGTGGAAGAGAGAAATGTAGGTTCCAGAGGTTGGGGGGGGGAGAGGGAAGGGAGGGGAGCCGAGATAAAGGTTCCTGCCTGGACACACAGGATCGGAGCCCGGCCCTTGTTTGGAGTTGAGAAAACAAGAGTGAAGCAACCGGCAGGCAGGAGGGACAAGGCGGGCTTGTTCGTGCAAACAATAGCCGTGTTCTGGCAGAGAAGCCATTGTCCTTCGGCCTCTTTTGTGCTCGTGCGAGAGACCAGGTCATCTTTGGGTGGTGCTGGCGAAGGATCAGTGAAGGGGACCAGCCCAGGGCAAACAACACTGAAGAGGTGCGGGAGGTGGGGCTGGTGCAGATGTGGAGCCTTGACAGGCGCTCAGGGGTGTGTGTATGGCCATGACACAGCTGGGCATCGAAGCCGGTGGGGCATTTCTGAGCCCCCCCCCGCCAGTGGGACGGAGACACACAAGAACAAGACCACTACCCCACGGCAAACAGGCAGGAGGCTTCTGATGCAGGAGACACTCCCACACTGAGGAAGTGGCTGTGAAAGTTTGGTCTGCTACCTTGCAGTGGGGGGGGGGGAGGACACGGATTGGTTTTCCCCAAGTGAGAAAGAGCAGCCCATCCTTCCACGTCAGCAGAGTGCCCTGCGTACCGCTCTGAAGGGCTGCCGTGGTGTTGCTTGGGTGGGGTTCCTGCAGGCCAGGCCATCTTTGCCAGGGCGCTGTGCGAGGCACAAAGTCCAGCAGCCCAGCCCAGGCAGCAAACACCACTGAGTCAGGCTCTGTTTTGGCTCCAAGGAAGCGGTTGCTAGGCTGGGCCAGGGCCGGCCTGCTTTGCTTTAGGGGCTGCTCTGGAGCGGTTTGGGGGAGCTGCCCTTTCTGGGTCCAACAAGAAGGCCTGCCTTCGGGTTCGGGAAAAGGCGGTCGCTCCGTCCCTCCCTCGCTGGCCAAGAGCGAGCCCTTGACTGGGCCTGCCCATGCTGTTCTTGACCGCCAGCAACCACGGGGGTGGGTGGGGGGTGGGTTGCTTTGGACGACCAGGCCTGGAGGGGTTTCCGCCTTTTTT